GAAAGCCTTTATTCATTAAACTCGACTTTAAAGGTGATAATACTGCAGGAACAGTCAACGGGAGATTGATTACTTCACTAACCAGAAGCCTATCCTGCGGCTAGGTTGGTTCCAGCTTAACAGACAACGTGCTCCTTGGTGCAATCAAAAGACAGATACCCTTCTCATGTTAACTCTAACCGTGTATGCAAATTGTCATGTATCTGTGGGAGTAGTTACAATGAGAGGACAGAGAGAAGGGCACATCTCTGATTTTCTGAACGTGTACCAAAAGTTCCACGTCTCAAGGGAACGAATGTTTACAATAGTGCCATTGCTAGGCATCTCCTTGATACGTGTAATGAAGTGGACATCACAAAATCCTCTAGAATTAACAATAGGCAAAATAATTCACTTCTGCTCAAACTTGCTGAGGCGATCTCTTTCAAAGGCCTGAAACCCGATTTATGCGCTCCTTGCCCTGGTAACTGGATGTCATTATTCTTTTCCTTACTTGATACAGTGCAGCTTTGCTTGTCTCTTGTTTTGATAACTTGAGTTGAATTCACTCTATTATTCCTCAATTGATTAGTTACTCATCCATCATCTTGCTCACCTCTTGTCTTTATGATGCAACTCCTTTACCGCTGTATCCTAGCATATATTTTTTGTCATATGTCACATATGTTAAAACTGTTTCTATACATAAACTTAATAGTGTCTTTGGGAAGTACCATCAGCCCCAACAGGTTGATCACTGACGACATCTCAGCACGGATACAGAGGGCTAGTTTCGCATATGCCAGTTTACGCTGTCTCTGGCTTAGTAGGGGTGATATTCGGCTATCAACCAAAGGGCTCCGTCCTCCTTTATCGCTAGCTGTGAGACCTGACCATTGAGAGTGGAAGACATGAAAAGATTAGCTGCGCTCTATCTCCCATGTGAAGTGGTATAATAAGGTGAGCAATATTCAGGTTAGGCCTTAGTCAAGTGCTAGGTAGGTGGGAGGGGAAATCAATCGACGAGGCTGTGAAGTTACATCGACTGAGATGGTTAGGACATGTGTTACGTATACCTAGTCATCGCCTTCCTCGACCGACAGGCAATGTTAGTTGACATATGGTCAGGCTGGAAAAGAGCTAGCGGAGGTCAAACCAAAACATGGCACCAGTCAATGAAATCTACAACAGTTAGTTTAAGCCATGTAGAAAAGTGTAGACTACCTGACTGGTCGGGGTTCTCGGGACGGCAAAAACCAATGGTTGGAAACAATTGGTGATATGGCTCAAACTCATTGTTCTCAATGACTGGCGCAGATCCATCCACTCCTTGTGACATGATTTCCAATGAAACTATATTGTTCTTTGTCATTACTATTTCTTTGTCTCACACCTCTGTTCACTGTCTCTATTATGCATTTCTCCTACTTTCTTCTCTTTCTTTGTGTGCTACATGTGGGGAGTGTGGCGACTTGAACTGCCGCACATCAGTGCAAAGTTCTATGTCGAAAACAGACAGACAGACAGATGTCTTTGAGCTGTAAGCAGCAGCTGATGAGAAGCCGACGAAGTAAACAGTGATGGTACCATTTTATTCTACACAAACTACTGTTGTTCTTGCTTTATTTGAATTCATATGCAACAGATGTCTATCGTCCAGCAGTATCTTGTACTTTACTCGGTAGCATAAATATGTCCTTTTCTGAAAGTGAATACTAACTCCCTGTAACTGAGGCAAGTATTCTTAATTGCCACAAATACACATATATGAGAGCCATAGCGGTTATCATTATCTAATGATTGATCAGTGTATATAACTACTATACAGTTCTATTAAGCATTTGCTGAGGAGTAAGCAACACATAGAACGATAATTTATACAACTGATCGATACGAAGATTTGGAAAGTATTCACATCAATCAGTACTACTGCTTGTTAGATAGATCGGGGGTGATCTACGCAATAGACACATATTCCGCTCATTTGTGGCTCAAATTAGATCACGTGTGTATCTTATTATTTATTATTATTTAAACGCAGAAAAAACTGGGTACAATATGACACCAAGAAAGATGCGCCACACAATAATAATAAAACGACATAGATCAAAAGAAAAAAATATATAAGTAGAGAACGGATAAAGAACTTCATCTGGAAGGAAAACAGTCGTGCTTAACAAGTTCAAACAGTATTCGTTAACTATCATCGGAAGGGAAGAAAGAAGGAAATTGCAACACATTCGCCATTGATTACGATTCTTGGCCACATCCGATAACGTTTCGAGCCATTGATTTGAGCTATCTCCCAGACCCCAACCAGGGAGTCGTGACACACCAACCGATGCTAATCTGGCACAAATATCCTTCATCTCACGACGCCACGTCATGGACTGACAACCTCTACGCCTTTTCCATCACAGGACTAGCGATCAGAGACCTGTACGGAAGCCTATGTGATAACATTTCCAGCACATGTCCAAGCCACCAGAGCCGGTGTTTCCAGATGACGACACTCAATGAATGGTGGTCTCCACTGTGTTCAAACACACGCCGCCGCCGAACCTCAGAATTACTCACGCGACGATGTCATCGAACGCAAGCAATCCTGAGGAGACAGTGATGATCGAACACGCAGAGTCGCCACCGCACATCCTCAGCCTACTTGGAGAGGTCAGGTTTCACAGGTGTAGAGCAAGACAGCTCGCACCGAAGCATTGTATGCCCGACCTTTGACAGCCAGGCTAACGTCGTGACGGCGCCATAGGTGGCTCAAGTTGATGTATGCCACCCTAGGCTTCATGCACTTAGACGGTGCAAAGTACATACCACACTTACAGAAGAGTATCTGGTTTGACTCAGATTAGACAGTGGAATCAGTTCAAACCACCCAAACTATGATTGACTACTTGCTTGGTGTTATCTACTACTGAATTGATATGAGTAGTTTCAAAAACAACTCAATTTCACTGAGGTTTGAATAACTGGGTGCGCTGGTTTCACACAATTTAATAAGTCGAATGAGTATTCTCAAAGTTATCAATAGGTGTGTCCTACTGATGAGTGTCGACAAACACAAAAGTTATCTAAAGCAAATTATCCAGCTACTTAAAAACATTTACACACAACATCCTATCAACTAACTCAGTAATTACATTAGAAAATTGATCAGTCGACTTCAGCTGGCATTAAAGACAGAATACCTACACTGGTCATTTAGAGACAACAGTCAAAATCTGATAGAACCAGGGGCTACAAGACAGCTGTTTCGTCTTGGTTTGGGAATCATCAGAATTAAGCACCCACTGGATTTGGGACCCAGGATCTTACGATTACGAGGCGAGCTTGTAGGCCACTCAGCCACTGGAACCTACCGAACTTGATTACCAATGAAGCTCTTGCGTTCGAAACCCGGCTGGCTGGTGTCTACTACCGATAAGTCCCAAACTAGATTGACGAAACAGCTGTTCCAGTAATTCAGTGCTGGTAAGTTGAATTGTTGAACTTTATTGTAACAGATATTTGTCTATAATCTAGGTTCATAAACCTCACATCAGGGAAGAAACCAAAATAATCAAGTGTTGGTTTGCAGGGATTTGATTGGTTAAGGAACTGATGATTGTGAGCTGACTTAAGTTAGAGGAGCATTGGAAAACCAATCACGGAGTACTAGACAGCTGTTCCGTCAGCGCAGTTTGGAACTCTTCATCAGTACGCAGCTACTGGGGCTTGAACGCAGGAACTTTTGATGAAAAGGTGAGCTGGTGGACCATTCAGTCACTAGGACCCGATCCAATGGTCCATGAATTCCAGCTTCTACTGGTTTGTGATTTTAGTGGGACCAAAAGCCAACGTCATCGCCGATGAGTATTTGTCACTATAGCCGGTCTGACGGGACCACTGGTCACGACTTTTCACTACAACTCTACTCTATACAACTTCTTCCTGTTGGCCAATCACTAATGAGCATTAGATTCATTTTCATGAATTCTTTTTGCAAGGATTTGATTTGTTTTGAAGCTTGATGACGGATTGATATCAATTAGAGCACCGTTGGAAACCAATGAGCTCTGAAAGGCTGTTTCATCCCAGTTTGTGACCGGAATGCGCTGTGTTCGACCCCTGGAGGTGAGTGCATATCGCTGAAGAGTCTCAAACTAGGCTGACCAAACAGTTGTCCAGTTCTCCCTGATGTATGTGTGTTTCAATGGCTCTCTAACTGATATCATTCCATGATCAAATTTGAAACAAATCGGATCCCTACTAACCAACTGCATAAGCTGAGCTGATATTGAGTAGATCCACAGATTAGGAGAGTTTTGTGTACTTATGAAAGCATTTGGGAGGTTATTACTGTCCCGGCTGTTGATTTCTTCTTGATCACAGAGCCCAAGGAATAATTGCTTCACGCGAGTCATACACACAACCTGTTTGATGAAATGTCTTTAATAAGTTTTGCTCGTGTGGAGTTCTTACCGCCAGCCACGTACGTGTACCATCGGAAGGTGATTGAGATCGACCTTTTCTAACCATAGCTGACTTGCTGACTGTCCAGTGGAGAAATATCTTACGGTCGTTGAGGTTCTATTCGTCAACAGTATCCCTTCGCCCATAGCACACATAATGTACGCAACATATACCATAACCAGTAACTGCCTTTAATCTAACCACTATCCAAGAAATGGAGATGGATTGGCCATACGCTGAGGAAACCATCAAGTGACATCACTAGACAAGCCATCGCTCGGGTGGAGTCCGAAAGGAAAGCGGCGAGTTGGTAGTCAGTGCAAGGGGGACTTCGAGAAGGTCATGTGAAGAGGAGATGAAAGCATGTGGGCGGACATAGAACCAGGTGAAAACTCTAGCAGAGAACTGAACGCAATGGAGACGCGCGGTTGAAGCCTTATGTTCCTCTAGGAATTAAAGGATATAATAATAATAATAATAATCCAAGTGACCTTTGTGTCATGGTAGGACAATATAAAAGACAAACATGTAACACGAGAAAAAGCAGGGCAACATACTTTTAAATCTCGATGAATAATTGGTGTTTTACAGTGGTGCAGACGACAAACAGCTTCACAGACATCACCAAATATACGTAGAACTTCAGCCTCCGTGAATCGCTGATGGTATTGTTTCCTTTCATTGATCAGTTGACTTAGATTACCTACAAAGCAGGATACGAGTAACAATCGATGCAGGCGATAAAAAAAATTTTAAAAGAAATAATTTATGAACAACAAGAATAATCGAATTATAATATAATAATAATGAGCATTTAAAAAAATAAAGCTTGGAAAGTGGTGATTTTAAACACTTTAGTCCCTTTAGTTTATCTAGGGAGCATTGTCTCAACTACAGGAAGTCGGAACAGACGAGGATGTCAAATCAAGAGAGAATCTGGAAGGTGAGCGACAAACACATTCATCAACCTGAAACAAACCAATATGGAAATCTTCGTCACTCAGCCAGCATCAACAACAAAATTCGGTCGGTTTTTCAATACAAACAGCGTCAAGTCAGTCAGTTCTTCTATACGGATCAGACAGAAACTTGTCAGGCGGGTGACAAACAATATTTCCAACAGCCTGTTGCAGACCTACCTTTATCAACCAACAACTGTCTTCGCTGGCTCTATACTGAAGATCAGATAGTCAGGCGGGCCGGAAAGAATCACCAACAACCAACTAAACTATGGGAACAAACAAAACAAGAACCAATCTCCAGCCAACAAATATGCAAGAGAAAGTGGAGATGGATTGTTCACTCGCTGGGGCCATTGCTCGAGTGGAACCAGACCGAAAGGGAAGCGGCGAGTGGGACGTCAGTGCAAGGGTGACATGGAGGAGATCGTGTGAAGAGGAGTTGAAAGAGTATGGACTAACATGGATGCAGGTGAAAAGTGCAGCAGAAGACAGAAGCAAGTGGAGACGCGCAGTTGAAGCCCCATGTTCCACTAGGAACCCAAGGGAACAATAATAATAAAAATGCTCCCTTTAGTAAAATTTGGTTAGCTTTATAAGAAGACAGAATTTATCTGAAAATTGGAATGTAGTTGAGCAACACCTATCGAACAGTAATCTGATCACACATTTACTTGTCAAATAAATCTATACCAGAAGAATGAAAGACCAATTAAAGTAAATAAAATGATAAGGGATTTAAATGTTATTTATTGTTCCTTTGGGTATCAAGAGGATTATAAGGCTTCCAAAGAACATCTCCTCTTTGTCCTATTCTATGCGGTCCTCTTCACCTGGCCCCACAATCTAATCTTTATTTTTGGAACCAGAGAAGGCATCTGTTGATAAAAGTCTGCAGTCGTTTGTTGGAAACGCTCTTCACGACCTATATTGAAGCCATGACCGACTTAACATTAGTGTTGAAACTCTGAATCCTTGTTACTTATGCTGCCTGAGTTCAGAAGATCTCCAAATTGATTTCACAGTTATAAAGGTCTGTGTTGCCTTTCTGATTCTAGTTTTTGATATCTTCAACCGTACTCTCCGCCTGTAGTTGAAATGATGCTTCCTAGATAATTGAAGGAAGTTACCTCTTTCGAATTTATTCTGTTGTTAGTGATTGTTGCTGGTTGTTGGTGATGGTGGAGGGTGATTAGTTGGCTATCCTCATCACCTCCGTCTCCTCTATGTTCACTTGAAGTCGTGTCTTTACTGCCAGTTTCTTCTATAAGTTTGTTGGTTTTCGCCTGTAGGTCTTCGAATTTGTGTGACATTAAAAATAAATCGTCCTCACATTCCAAATCTTTTAGAGTCTTTTTATATCAAGAAGGATAATAATTGACACTATTTTTTGATAATATAGTCAGATAAGGATTACCACGGTAGGCCAAACGTAATAAACAATTGTTCTTATACACACTGAGGTGAAGAGAGGTGGGGACTTAATTTTACGGATAGCTACTACCTCAGCGTATTTCTTTAAGAACTCTTGACGGTTTTTATACCTAATCTCGAAAGCTGCTTCAATATCGGTCTAGTGTTTCATATCACTGTCAAGTGTTTAGCTATAGATGAAGTTGGCAGCCTCCACCTGCGTTTATCGAGGTTTCACAGTTCAACTGTTTTTCAAGCCATTAAAATTTATGTTCTTTTCTACCCTCACGTGCAAAGCGCGATTACGCCTCCCTTCTTATGTATGTGCAACCACACACACACACACACAGCACGCGATGTGACATAATCACTTGTGCAATGCCGAAACTTGTGGGAAACCACGTTTTTGGTTCTTTTCGATAAAATTATTATCCCAGCTGAATAGTAAGTTTTAAGGATGACGGAATTTAGTCTCTGTCTTAAAATCCTAACGTCTTTATTTTCCCATTTCAAGGTCATTCGATGTAGATATCTTTCTTCCAGATGGAATACACTGTAGACTTTATCAGATGGTTGGAGGCAATCGGCCACAGGAAGCCTTCCACCTAGGATTCATCTTAGTTGGTACCCACCAGTCAGCAAGGCGTATCTACAACCGCCTTGAAGGAACTCATGTTCCTTGTGAAATTCGAACCCGCATCACCTAGTGCTACAGTCAGTCAGAGACGTTACCACTGAGCTATTCGGGCTCGCGACTGACCTCCTGTAGGACTGTATTGGATACTTTGATTGGACACTAGACAGTAAGTAGTGTAATGTCTGTGTGTGGCTAGTCCTATCTTTGGTGCAGACTGAATTCCATCAGTCAATCAGGTTTGCAATGTGGCCACCATGCTAGGTTGCTCCAACCATCTAATACCAACAATTCATAGAGCACCGTAATAGCGAGCCACCTGGCCTAGAATGGTGGCCACATTGCAAACTTGACCGATAGAATTCAGTCTACACCAAAGAAAGGAAGGACTAGACACATCACACTATATATATATATATATATATATATATATATATATATATATATATATATATAGAAGAGAGAGAGAGAGAGATTTGACAAGTATATGTGTGTGATCTGATTGTTCGGAAGGTGTTACGCAAACACACGACTCTCTTTTTTTCAGATAAACTCTGTCTTCTGATAAGCCTATCCAAAAGTGTCAATTACCATTTGTAAATATATCATAATGAATCAATAACTTCTATGATTTTTACATTTCACACGAAATATCATATTACACTGCACACAAAGTGTATGTGTGTGTGTGTGAGGGAGAGAGGACTAGATTATCGTATTGATTGCCAGCCCGTGACTAATTCGCATAGATAATATTATAGTACACCTGATTAGCTCAGTGGTAATTGTCGCTAACCTCAGTACTGTGCTGAATTCCATAGAATAACATGAGCAACCTAGAGATTGCAAACACGCCCCTCGTTGATGATTAGGGATAACAAGGATATTCAAAAGGATTGAACGTTTTTCAATCAGTATTACAGTCCTAATGAGAAATCGTTATCAGTGAGGAGAAATGCTCGCCAGCGATGACGGTGGGGTGGCTGGTACCAGTCAAGCTAAAATCACGAATTTGTAGAAGTTAGAATTCATGAGCTGGTCGGTCGGCCATTGAGTCGGATCCCAGTGGCTCGCCTTACTTACTTACTTTACTTCGGCTATCTCCTACGGGAGGATCAGCCGGCTTCATGAACGTCTCGAATCATCGCTGCCCAGGCGCGGCAATTTGTAAGAGAGTTCATGAAGTTTCATGGGAATTGGGTACGAGTGATGTCCCCAGCATCGCTCGGCCTTTTGTTTGAGAGTGCAGCTCTAGCCTTTACACAACCAAGTGTGACCTACAAGGCAGTAGGAGTGGAGTAAGGAGTCCACTATCCATTGGCAGCCGGTGACCGGAGTTCGGTTCATACGCCTTTTTGAATGGGGCCAGACATCCAACAAGCCCTTTGTCCATACGTCTGCCGGTGAGCTCCAGTGAGCTTCATACGCCAGTCGTTGGAGGTTTGGAATCAGGGTTTAGCCATCTCCCCTAGACCGTCATCCAATGGACAGTCAACCCGGTGGAGAGCGCCGGGCATCCGCTTTCGCCCTCTCACTTTGGTGAGAAACACCTCCGCCACGTGAAGGCAGTGAGTAGGACTTCCTCAGGAGAGGCTATGTAAGACGCCCGGTCATATGGGAGCATTTCAAGAGGTGTGCGGAGGGGTGGCCAACCCGCAGCGCAAGGCACCCACCCCCGACCATCCTGAGGCTTTGGAGGCTCGCCTTGCAACCGGAAGGTCCCGGGGATTCGAAACATGGTGGATACGATGACGAAATAGCTATTCAGTAGTTCAGTGCTGGTTTTCTAGTGGTTCTCTAACTGATGATATCAATCCGTCATCAAAACTTGAAAAAAATCAAACCCCTAGAAACAAAATCTTAAAAATTCCATTCGGCTAAATAGAGAAAATAGAGGTGATGAAGATTCCGGGCCAACAACAGCAACAGCCACAGTAACAACGACAGACAACAATCATCCAGCATAAATGGGAGGAACCTAAAAGAAACAACCTCCTTTAACTACCTACCTGGGAAGCATCGTTTCAACTACAGGCGGACGGAACTGACGAGGATATCAAAGCCAGAATCCGAAAAGCAAGACAAGCTTTCATTACTCACGTCAAGTCTGTGTGGAGGTCAACAGAACTCAGCATCAAAAATAACATCCGGATTTTCAACTACAATGTGAAGTCAGTCAGTGCTACTATACGGATCAGACACTTGGCGCGTCATAAAGAGCATCTCAGACAAACTAAAGACCTTTACCAACAGCTGTCTTCGCCCAGTACTACTCAAGATTAGATGGCTGGCCAGAAAAGATCAGCAACAGGGATCTCTGAGAGTGAACCTACCCAGCAGGAAGAAATGGAGATGGATTGGCCATACTCTGAGGAAACCATCAAGTGATATCACTAGACAAGCCATCGCTCGGGTGGAACCTGAAAGGGAAGCAGCGAGTTGGTAGTCAGTGCAAGGGGGACTTCGAGAAGGTCATGTGAAGAGGAGATGAAAGCGTGTGGGCGGACTTGGAGCTAGGTGAAAACTCTAGCAGAGAACTGAACGCAATGGAGACGCGCGGTTGAAGCCCTATGTTCCTCTAGGAGTTAAAGGAAATAATAATAAAATATACTTCAACGACAAAAATTAAGTCACAGAAAATAAACAACCAACGCCATCATCTGGCATTGATAATCTCAAAACAAAACAAAAAAAATGAGATAAGCAGAGTAATATGAACCCGACTTATCAATTCAATTGTAAGCTGGCGTAGATGCAACGGAATCTCAACTCCTAAGATCCATTGATGTGTAGATAACTAACCAAGTTAGCATTAACAAAACAAAGCATACATATGTTAATACTAACTTTAGAATTAAGAAAATGTCCGGCTAATTATCGAGTAACAAGTGCATTTTACAAACACGTTCACCTTGTCTAAATTTACAATGAAGGCGATGCCGTTTAAAGTTCATCCGAAGCAAGTAAATTTCACCTGAACGGTCCCATGCTCGAATCCTACCCCCCCCCCCCCCTATAACCGATACATACTTTAGTCTCCACAAATAGTAAATATCACACAACAATAAGTGTTGCTCGTATACTGGTACACCAAAAAGGGAGATTCGTGTAACTAAGCATAGGTTATTCTAATGATTGGGTACAATTGGGTGAAAAGGGAGAAACATATTTACAACGCATTCCCCCCCCCACCGACTCCCCAGATATTTTTATTCATAACAGAAATTTCGAATTCCACCCCACCCACCCCTAATCTTTATTTAATTATTCTATTTATTTTAATATCAATCAATTTGTGTTTACTTTTCTTTAATGAGCCAATTTTAAACGTAACAACTTTCTTGGGTCGCATTCGAGGACTAGTCTGGCGTGTGATGTCATTCGACAGTCTTCTTAGTAGCGTGTGCCCGATTCATCTCTATTTTTTCCCATATATATTTTTTGAGCAACAGTTTCTTGGTTGGTTTGCTCTTAGAGTTTCTCGTTGTTAATTCTTCCTGACCAGCTGGCTATTTGTTCTTCAATATGGAGCCAGTGAAGACAGCTGTTGACAAAAGTCTGTACATTGACCTATCGCAAAAATGTTTTTCATTAAGTACACACCAATGCTAAATCAGTCACTAGCTAAATATGCATCAGAAACTTGCACTGCCCAACACGAAAAGCATTTCCAACAGACCACTGCAGACTTGTATCAACAGATGCCTTCTCTGTCTCCCCATAATGAAGATAACATGGCTGGCCAGAAAGAATTAACAATAAAAACTATGGAAACAACCCAACAAAGAACCTGTTGCTCAGCAAAAACGTGGCAGAAAATAGAGATTAGATAAGACACACACACCAATGAGGAGAACATAGAAGAACACTGCACACCAGGCTGTTGTTCGAATGGTAGCCGGAATGGGAAATGATGAATTGGACATGAGTCCGAGCGTGACATGGAGCAGTCGTTCGGGAATGAGGAGATGGCAGACTATGAGAATCGCGGGGTCAGGCGGAGAGGATCTCAGAGAATAGGACAAAGTGGAGATGTGTTGTTGAAGCCTTATGTTCCACTAGGAGCCCAAAGAAACAATAAAATAATAGTAATATGTATATATATACCATTTGCTGAGTTCAAGAGTTAGAAGTTTTAATAACCGTGGTGTAGTTTTCACTGCGTGGGGTTGCTGGCCTTACATGCCCAACCTTTCGATTTCGCCGGAATTACTGTCAGCTAACGTCTAAAGTCCTATGAAAATTCAACCACCGTCTGAGGAGATTTAATTATCTGCTGTTTGAACTGTAACTTCACAACCTCGTTGGCTGATTTTCCCCCTTTACCTAGCACTCAATGCCTGACCTCGATAGGGTGAGTAAAATTGAGGTTAGGGCTCAGTCGAGTGCTAGGTAAGGAGGGAAAATCATTGGACAAGGTTTTCAAGCTACAAGCATTGAGAGAGATGGTTAGGACATATGTTACACAGGCCTAACCTATCCATCAACTTCCTTGACAACGGACAGTGTTAGCTGACTGACATAGGATGCATCAGGTTGGAAAAAGCTAGCACGTAGAGTCAAACAAAAACATGCTTCATCAGTCAGTGGAATCCATAACAGTTAATTGAAGCCAACCACCCATCCAGCCACGTAGGAGAGAGGTGTAGACTGTCTGACTGGCTGGTTGGAGTCTTCGGGATGGTATAGAAAAATGGCCGCTCGATACAATTAGTGACATGGCCGAAAATCCTCGTTGTCAATGACAGTGGAGATGTATTCACCCTTCTTTGCGATTTGTCAGCTATATCCAATAAAACTCTATTGTTCTTCCATATTACTGCTATTTTTTTTCCTTTACGTTTGTGATTTTTATCTCTCCATGTTTCGAATATCTCTTTACTGTCTTCTCTTGCTTTGTGTGGTACATGGAGGAAGAGTGACAGCTCGAAATGGTGCACATTTGCTCAAAGTTCTATGTTGAAACCAGTCAGCTGCTTGGTCTTATTTATCTGGAAAAAGTCCTTCAAGGGGCTTAGGCTATGAGCCACAAAATTACTGTGTGAGGGCTGATGATCCACATGTCTCTACATTGAAGTAGATGGGGCAGGATTCGGATCCAATACCCATTGCCTAGGAACCAAACACTTAAGCAAATAAGCACATCTCCATAAAAAAATCAATTAGTTTCTCCCGTAAACGGTATATATCCATGAGTACAAAAGTCTATTTCAAACAGTATGCATCTATCACATAATATAAATGAACAATTATGGTCATTATTGTTATTATTATTATTACTTCCTCCCTGAGGTCCAGGGAGGGAATAATAATAATGAGGGCTTCAGTAGCACATCACTACTTTACTTTGTCCTCTGATTTCTTCCTCAACTGGTTCTACAATAGCCCACAAGCTTTCATTTCCCCTTCACATGATCTTATTCATGTCACCCCAGGACGCCTAGTCCGTTGTATTTCATTCGAGTTCCACTCAAGGGTCTGTAGTCTGTTGACACCTGAATATCTCTTCAGCGTATGATCAGTTCACCTCCATTTCCTTCTGCATATTTGTTCCACAGTAGGTTCTTGGTTAGTTCATCGCCAGAGTTCTCTGTTGTCCATCCTTTCTAGTCACTCGTCTAATCATTAGAGTAAGGAGTATTGAGTGCTAATGAAATTGACGCCAGACTGTTAAAGAAAACGCTTTTTGGTGGCCATAAAGAAGCCTTGAATTAACAATAGTATTAAAAGTTCCGATCTTGTAAGTTGAAGTCAGTGTTTCGAGTCTTCAAATATATTCTAGTTTAATAAACGTCTGTCTACGTTTTCCCGATCATAGCTTTGACATCTTCATCCACGCCGACGACTACCTGTATTTGCAATGATGCCATCCATGTAACTTAGATATAATTTTATTTAGAAAATTTAACATAGAAGCCATTTATGTAAGCCGATGAGAGCCATGCCTCTATAAAAGACACCCAGGTTTTCCAATGGTTCTCTAACCGATATCAGCTCATGATGACGATTCTGTAACCAACCAAATCCTTGCAAACCAACACTTGGATATCAGTGTGATGCTCACTAACGACTAGCCCTATATTCAGGTGGTGGGTAACTACCTAAATTCTAATGGAAATTGGTGACCAGTGGAGTGTAGCGGGTCGGGTGTGAGGACAAATACTCGCCAGCAACCACATTGGTTAGTGCCAGTCGCGCAATATCGTGAATTGGGATAAGTTGGAATCCATGGGCTGGACACTGTATCGACTCCTAGTGGCTTAATGGTCTAGGAGCTCGCTCGCCTTGTAACTTAAAGTTCCTGGGATCAAACCTTGATAGTGGGATGGGTGCATACTAATGAAGAGTCACAAGCTAGGCTGACGAAACAGCTGTCCAGTACTCTCTATCCGACAACCGATCAAATCAAATCCTGCAAGCAAACACTCCTAAAATCTTGAGTAGAGCGAGAACAACATTGATTTGTGCAGAATAACATGGTACCATCATTTATTTCGTTGACTTCTCGTCAGCTGCTTACAGCCTAAATAAATTTTCAGGTTTAAGTACAGAAACGTGTTAACATACTTGCAAATTTTACATGTTGTCAGTTGACAGAAAGTTTCACAATTAGTAAACAGTGCTCAGAAAATTGCGCTTATATAGTTTTTGCACAGGCAGTTCAAGTTAAAAAAAAATAATAAATAAATGTATGCATATAATAAAGATGGGATGTGCGTTGGATGCATAGTGACTAATAAGTTAGGTAACAATGTACTGAGTTGAACTCAAATCATAGAAACAAGAGACAAGCAAAATTACAGAATATAAAGGAGGGTGAGGTTAAAGACAAAGATTACGCAATCAGATGAGAGAAAAAAGACATCCAGTTACCAAGGCAAGGAAAGACTAATAACTGATTCTTTCTGAACACATAGATCTGGTTTCAAGCGTTTGATAGAAATTGCTTCGGCAAACTTGAGGAGAATGGAGCTCCTTTGTCTATTGATAATTTTGAAGGATTTCTCGATTTCCACCTCATGACCCGTGTCGAGGAGATGTCTGGTAATAGCGCTGCTATAAGAGTTTGTTCCCTTGAGACGTAGGCTTTTCGGCACATGTTCAGAAAATCGGAGGTGTGCCCTTCTTTCTGTTCTCCCAATGTAACTGCTCCCGCAGATACACGTAAATTTGTATACACAGTTGGAGTTAACATGAGAAGGGTATCTATCGACTTTTGACTGCACCAAAGAGCATGTTGTTCGGTGGACGGGAACCAACTTAGCTGCAGGATAGGCTCTGGCTAGTGACGTCCTCAGTCTTCTGTTGACCATTTCTGCAATGTCTTCACCTTTAAAGTCTAGTTGAATGAAGACAGGCTTTTTTTCGACTGTGATTTGTTTGGTATTTGGGCCTTCACATCTTCCATATTTGTTAATGAATTTTTGAGTATAGCCGTTGTTTTTCAGCACCTTTTCGAGATTCGTGAATTCTTCCTCTAGTTTCTCTGCAGAGCATATTCTCCTCGCTCTATAGTACAGAGTCTTGACTAGTGCTCGTTTATAGCTATTTGGACAAAAACTATTAAAATGTAAGTATTGTCCATTCCATGTGGGCTTTCGGTAGATTGACCTCTGGAGGCTACCATCTTCTAGGCGTTTTATGGCGACGTCAAGGAAATGGAACTGTCCATCATTTTCATGTTCCATAGTAAATACAATATTTGTATGTGCGTTGTTGAATAGTCTGAGTAGGTAGGAGGCATGACTTTCGTTGTTGCATACTACAAATGTGTCATCGACATATCGACAATAGGAAGTTGTTTGATCAATTGCATGCTTCAGCTTTGTTTTCTCAAGGTTTGACATAAAGATATCTGCTAAAACAGGGCTAAGTGGACTGCCCATAGCTACACCATCTATTTGTCGGTAAAGAGTGTTGTCAAACTGGAATTGTACACCCATGGTACACATTAGCAGTAGGCGTTTGAATTCCGGCTCTGGTAGTGGGAGAAGATCAGACTGTTGACAAATTATCTCAATGGTTTCATTGATTGGGATCATTGTGAACAAGGAGGTTGCATCAAATGAAGCCATGAACTTATTTGAAACGTTCATGTGATTCACGCTTTCAGCAAAATGAAATGAGTCCTTTATGGTGTGCGCGGCCAGCCTTTGGCGAATGGGTTCCAACTTCTCCGCGAGCCAACGGGCAACCTTATGTTGGGGAGAGTTGATCATCGAAAGTATAGGTCTCAGAGGGACTTCTTTCTTGTGTGTCTTTGGAAGGCCATACATATATGGCAAGCGGGACCCTCGGGGTTTCAATTCATTGTACGTGTTGTTGTCAATCAAATTCTTCTTTAGAAGATCTCTCAATACGTTTGTGATGCGTTTTTCGGTTGCATCTGTCTTGTCTTTCTGGCAGTCGTCGACTTTGAACCTCAACGGATCATTGAGCACAGTTTTCATCCTTGCGATGTAGTCATCTTTATCCATCACTACCACTCCTGAGCCTTTGTCAGGTCGCAGTATGACAATTTTGTCATTATTTCTGAGTTTTCAATGCTTATTCAAAAGTCCTCATCAAAAAGCATTGAAAGCTCTCAGAAATAATGACAAAATTGTCATACTGCGACCTGACAAAGGCTCAGGAGTGGTAGTGATGGATAAAGATGACTACGTCGCAAGGATGAAAACTGTGCTCAATGATCCGTTGAGGTTCAAAGTCGACGACTGCCAGAAAGACAAGACAGATGCAACCGAAAAACGCATCACAAACGTATTGAGAGATCTTCTAAAGAAGAAATTGATTGACAACAACACGTACAATGAATTGAAACCCCGAGGGTCCCGCTTGCCATATATGTATGGCCTTCCAAAGACACACAAGAAAGAAGTCCCTCTGAGACCTATACTTTCGATGATCAACTCTCCCCAACATAAGGTTGCCCGTTGGCTCGCGGAGAAGTTGGAACCCATTCGCCAAAGGCTGGCCGCGCACACCATAAAGGACT